ATATACAGATATATATGTAGTAGAATATCAGCTAGTCGATATTTCTCAGCCTGCTGGGAGAGAGGATCATCATGTCATTAATGTGAAGAGATTGGATTTAAAATGAATATAAGCCAGTATCATGGCAGTCAGAGTCCTGAGGGAGCGTGCTCAGATGTAGATTAAAGCATTGTTGTCTGCATCCTCTGTAAGTTAGAAAGCACATGAATCCAGGGGGATCTTTTGTTGCAATAAGAAGCTTTTTTCAAATGGCAGAAAAAGCTAACACGCTCACTACACGAGTGTTTAATCACACAGGCAACTTTTAGTTTTTCCACTGCAGCATCTGTGCTAAATTGTTTAGATAGAAAGCTAAATCAGACATAAACCTGCATCTTCTTTAAATTTTACGTTAAAAAAACATCTGTCAATTTGTCAATGTGTGTTGTGTGCCGTACTCCTCAATAACGTAATAAAATATTTATTGATAACTTAATAAGTGAACGTCATCCTTTCATTGTTCTTTAATAATTCTAAGTGAAACACACTGCTAATTTTTTTAAATCTAAAAACAAGTTTAAAATACTAGATTATAGTCTGAATCTTCTCAAATTAAGTGAAACAATCTGCCAGTGGATGAATAAGTGTTGAAATAAGAACATTTTCCAGGCTAACAAGATTAATAGTCTAACAGTCTGCTCTTGTTTAGTATATCATTCTCAAAACAAGATCAAAATACATTTTTGGCTGGAATTAAGATCGTAAGACTTGCTTAGATGGACTGTTTTTGCAGTGTAGAGCTTGTTTTGAGGAGGAGCGATGAATACGTTTGGATATGTTTTTTTGCAGATGTGGGACAAAAAACAGTATAAATTGTTAGACTGAAACACGTCTATTAAAAGCCATTCCAGTGGACATTACAGAATCTTCTGTGAGATCTTAAGCTCACTCTCCATATTGGATATAAATATGTAAAAAACATGTAATTTTTCCCCAGATACTGTTTTTATTATAAGTGTTCGGTGTTCACAGCCTCCATTGTTGTGTGCAGTGTGTGTTTATGTTGCATTTAGCCACGTTCATTCAAAGGCCTTCCTCTGTCTGAGCGCTGCATCTATTTTTTATGACAGCTCAGTATCACGGAGCAGTGGGGGGTTGTTCTTTACATCTACTTTTAATTGTTTTCAGCAGACATTTAACCTAGTGCTTCTAATTCACCCTTGCAGGTATGAACATCAGTGTTTAAAGTAAAACACAAAAGAAAGACGCGAAGTCAAAAACATGTCATAGGTTTTACAAAGAGCACACACTTTGTATTCAGAAGCTTCACTGAAATATTCTGCTGCTGGCAAGCCTTAGAAAAAATAAAATGTCTGTTTTCATTCCGCCAAGAAGCCACTTTCCTCGGTGATGCTGCACATCTTCACAGTCTGAGGCATTATTTATGTGCAGGCAGCGTTCAGACAGCCCTCCCTTCACGACCTCAAATCAAAGCCAGAGAGCTGGGACAGCACAGAGAGAAATCCAGAAAGGATTCTTGTAGATTGATGGCAGCGGGCAGAAGCACCAACATCTGTTAATTAAATCAAATCAGGCCAATCAAAAAAAGAACTGTAATTTTATGGAACATGTTTTCCACCCGTGGCACTTTCTGAGGGATCTTGTGTCGTGTATCTTCTTGTGTTAAGACACCACTGATGTGTTATTAGTCTCGGTTAGGAACAATTTTGATTGTCGCTTTTAGGCAGCCTGTTACGTTATTAATTCAAGATTCAATATTCAAAGTGTTTATTGTCATATGCACAGATGAAAACATGTTTCCCTGAGCAATGAAATTCTTACTTTGTCGTCCATTTTGAGTGCCGAGAGACAACCATACTAAAAAAATGAATCATCACTGAAAGGACACTAACAATATTGACAAAAAAAGAGCCTAAACTAAAGATAATAACATCAGAAGGGAACAATACAATAATAACAACAAGAAGGGAACAGTGCAATCTGTTTTGAAGTGTAATGTGCAAATGTGCAACAGGTAACAGTCTTAAATGTGCACATGTGCAATTATAATAGTCAGGAGATTGTCACATTCAGCTGTTTAAAAGTCTGATGGCACTTGGGAAAAAAGCTGAATGTGACAATCTTCTGACTATTATTATAATTAATATAAAATAAGTGATTTTGTTTTGAAAGCTGGGCCCATTTTTTATTGTGATGAATGAGAAATGTCAAACATGGTGCAAAATGTAGAGAAAATATTCAAAAGATCTAAGGACTAGCTATTTTTGTAGGAATGCTTCTCCCTTGCTGTCTTTCAGAATTTCAATTTCTTGTGTTCGTCACACAAAAAAGAAAATGCATTTGCAACCTCATGCAACATTGTAAGATGTCATGCTCAGATTATGTGTTGCAGTTGACTTTGAGCTGCAATCTCATCAAATTTTAGCTCAATATCTGTAAAACTGACTGAGTTATAAGCATTTATGTGTTCACTAATGTGGATTGGCTGGAGCTGCCATCTTGAATTGGATTGACGCCCAAAGTTAAACAGATGTTGTGGTACATCTAATAATCGATTTTTGAACATTTGATCAAAACCCATTCAGTGGCTCATGAGATATTTTGCTAACAGACAGATGCACACATCCTTTCCCACCTTTGGCAGCAAATGATAAAAGTATCTACGTAGTTGTGTAACGGAACAGTGACTGTTGAAAAACGGTTTACAGAGAAAAGACGTGTAGAAAAAAAAGTGGGACGACAGCCTCGTTCTGTCATCCAGGCAGTGATTTCCACACTGGATGAGGCTGCCAGTCATCCAGACAGGATTGTTTTGTTCCAGGAATGTCGTTTCATAAATTATTCTTATGACAAGAGGAGCAGATGTTATACAGCCTCACTTATCAGCCTAAGGAATCAACTGCTCTGCCTCCTTTTTCTTTCTATAACATGGTTTAAATTCAATCTGAAGAGAAAGTAACTCTTTTTATTACCCAGTGTCCCTAATCACAAAATGCCTTGTTTTAACTAAAGCACGGGGAAAATATGCCCTGTGCCGGGAATTTAATCTTCTGCTAACATTACCCACATGTGAGAGTGAAATAGGCAAAGTAATTACACATTAAAATTCAGCACGGAGTCTCGCCTGCAGAGCCCTCAGCTGAGTCGTCTGCAGAAAATAAAAATAATAATAAAAACCCGCAGCGACATGGGTGCAGTGCTTTCACTAAAATGTGTGTTGGTGTCTTTCTTTTTAAATAAGAATAAACTACAAAAAAATTACAATATTTCGGTTTCCTTTCTGATTTTTTATTATTTATTTATTTTGTAACTGCAAAACACTCCCATTCGTTTAAAAGACTGCTCTTGTTTTTCTTCCTCTTTCAAAATGAGCAGCAGCGAACATCCTGCCCTCCAAATAATGATAGCTTCAAGGCCAGAGGAGCACAGGAACAAACGCACAGCTAACAATCAGCTACAGTGTGGTGGCTGATTTTCTGTTTTTGTTGTTGTTATTAGGCTATCATTCAGTGTTTGATTTAATGTTCACTGTTTCCATCCTGTTTCTCTTTATTCCGTTTTGTCCATACCTTTTTTTTTTGTGCTATTTTATCCATTCAGGTGTTAAAATGTTCAGCTCGTTCAGGACGACAATTCATTTTGGTATCTTTAAAACCTTTCTTCACAAAACATTCTCAGAAAAATAAATTTGGATCTCATATTGTCTACTTCAGTAGACTTG